ATCATCCACAGGGCTCTGTCCCTTGGAAGGCTTTCAGTGAGAACCTGTGCCATGCATCCGCCAGGTTTCCTCTCAGCAGTCAATCACTGTAAGTTTGGGGCTTGAATCCACATGACTCCATCACCGTCAGTCCAGTTCCACCTCATCCACACACGGCTGCTGCTCTTTGTGCCTTTTCATGGGACTAAGAGTCACTGGGTCTCTGCTCTGCCATGAACCCGGTTTGCTGCCACCTCAAGGCCCTCGCTTATGCCCACAAAGAACCTCTTCCCAAATATGATCATTGCGAGGCTCTAGGTGGGCATGGCTTTTGAGAAGAATTTCAAAAAGTCTTTGTGTGTCCTGTGTGCACTGTATCATGTCCAGCTGCAGGTACACACCTCTTCCCTTATCTCGGGCCCCCTGGGAAGGTGTTTCTGCAGTGCACTGTCAAATTCACCCATGTGCACATCATGCACACCCATCCTTCAGGTGAGTTACAGGATCTTTCCTTCCTCTGCTTTGTGGAACTATATGGGACCTCCAATCACGTGCCAAGTTAAATTCTCTATAGGTACTTTAGCTTCTCAATATAATGTGCACTCGATTCTCTTGATAAAAAAATCTCTTAATATAAAAATCAACCTAAGAAACCTAGAGAGATGTCAAGCACTTGTGGGGATCAGAGTTTAATCTCCTAGAACACACATCAAAACCAGACTTAACTACTATCGTAGCCTGCAGAGTTGACAACTGGCTATGATAGACGATTACTTTTCTCCTCCAGCACTGTGGGAGCAAGCCAGGTTAGTGCTAACTTGATTTATATATATTCTATGGCTCAGAGAAGTGCTGTCTTCAGCAACAGAGTCTTACATCAAGTTCTGGGGGGCACTAATAGCATTGGCCTGCAATGTTTGGGTTCTCTGCATCCTCACTGACATGGGACTCCAAAAGAAGTAATTCACTCCTAGCACTAGAATTTCTATTGTTAACATCTGATGTGTAATAGACCCATTATTGCCCTCACTGTAGGCTAGTTCAGATATATAAATACATAGGTAGGTAGGTAGGTAGGTAGATAGATAGATAGATAGATAGATAGATAGATAGATAGATAGATAGGGACGCTAATGCCCAAAAAGATGGCCACTGGTGGAAAATAGCGGCATGAACATCACTGGAGTAACCAACCACTTTCTGATTGGATTTTGAGTCCTGCTGCACAGAATGAATCCCATAGCTGGTACCATTACTGGGTCAAGAATCTACAGCTGCAGAGGTCATAGGCCCTAGTAGAGAACTCACTATGATTATTCTGCCAAATTTCCATAGTTGTAAGTCAGCCTCTAATGGCTTATTGTTATACCAATAAAGCAAAGTATTTCTCAACCCTCATATGAAAAGCTTCCATTTGTAGTACATAGTGACTAACACAGAGAGCATGAACCAGTTAAAGTATAGAGAATAGCAGACTGTAGAACTGTGGGATGCTTGTCCCTATGCAGAACACAGTTACTGCACCCTTTCCCCCTCAGGGGTCAGGAATCATTGTAGAGAGAGGGACGAAAGAATGTAGCACCTGGATGGTTGATGACTACAGAGAAACGGTGTCTTCTGGGCATGGCAGAGCAGCTGCACATTTGACCTCAGGGTGGCCGTGACGACAAATGCCAGATCTGTGCAAGCCCGAGTCAGACCACACCCTAGCATGGAGAGGGAGGAGAGGGAGAGCTGAGCATGACATCATTCCACCTCTAACTGAGGAGCAGCTGGTGATGTCGGCTGTTGAGGGAGGAGGAGGAGGTCTTCACGAGGAGTGTAGCCCCTGTTAAATGAATCACAGCACAGGAGAAAGTCACACGGCAAAAACTGATGGGCTTCATAGGCAAAAAAAAAACCTCAAGAGGACATAAATTTAAGTAGGGACGGAAGCGGGATGTGGATTTGGTAAGAGTTGAAAGGGGGAGAGGTGAATGAGATTAAAACATGCTGTGTGGCCCTCAAATAACTAATACAAATTTAATATGAAATAAATAAGATGTTTCCAAAAGCCAGGCAGGTGGATGCATTCTTATCATCCCAACACTTGGGAGGTAGAGTGAAGAAGGTCAGGAGTAGCTGGCCTGCCAGTCTAGTCTAACTGGTAGTTTTTGGTTAAACTGTGCACACACACACATGAAGCTGGCCCATCAGGAATTAAGACAGGGGACAGTTGTAAGGGAGCTGGACAGAGGGAACAAGCAGCCGAGTGCCTGTTGTGCAAACCAGATGACCTGAGTGTGACCCACATAGATGTACAGGGAGAGAACTGACCTGCAGAGCTGCCCTCTGACCTCCATGTGTACGTCATGTCATGCATGTGCACCACCATATTGCACACGCACACGATAAGTAAAAACTGAAAAAGAAGAAAGGGCAAGAATGGAAAGCTTGCAGTCACCTGCCCATCACCCTACTCTATCCAGCATCTGTATATCAGGCTGCTATGCCATTTTTCCTTTTCTTTTTCCTTGTAAGAGTACACGAGTGAGGAAGGGCACATTGCACGTGTGTGTGACGGCCAAAAGACAATCTCAAGAATTGTTTCTTGGGAAGCTTCCACTTTTTTTTGAGACAAGGTCTCTTGCTGGCCCAGAACTCACTACATTGACTTGGTTGGCTGGCCAGTGAGGCCCAGGAATCCAGCTGTCATGACAGGGATCAGTGTTGGAACTCTAAGAACATAGCACCACAGAAAGTCCCTTCCCATGGGTTCCAGAGTTTGAACTCAGGTCCTTATTCTTGCAATGCAAGCCCTTCACTAAGCTCCCTCCTCCACACTGTTCTATCTCACAAGAAGACACCCCGTGTATGGATAAAGCTGGTGCCTGTCTAAAGTTAATAGCCTCTAGCTTTTGAAAACCAGTAGGAATGAGCAGGATGGTGAGATCCTATGGGCATTTGGCTTCCTTCAGACGAACAGATCCCAGCAATGAGTTTGGATTGTTGTCATAGAATGATGAAGGCATAGGAGATCTTGAGCAGGGGTGACTTTTTGATCACCAGGAGAAAAGACCACCATGGTTCCTATAAAAAAGAATTACAGAGGGATACAGTAGGTAGAAGCAGGTAGACACATTACAAGGTTTCTAGCCTCATTGGAGATACTAGATGGAATCAGTAAGAGCCAGAGAGGGTATTTGAAAGTCCTAGCTGGATGGTGGATAGGAGGTGGCACAGGAGGGCATCCCAAAGTTTGTGAGCCCAGTTTCTGACTGTCCACGGATGGAGAATCTGTCTGCTGAGTAGGGAGGCTAAGGGACGAGCAGGCTTGAGTGACAGGTGAAAGATGGCTTTAGGGACAAGAAGGGTTAAAGTCAATCAGGTATGCAAACAGACACAGAAAGCAGGCTGGCAATATGAGCTCAGGAGGAAGATGGGGGTGGAGCCTTCATTGGTGGCATCATCCATATATAACGACATGTCTAAGCAACGATAGTAGATCTGCATGCCTAGGAATGAGAACAGGAGGAGAAAGGAAGCCCAGGCGTCAGCAATGACACCATGGAGAGAAGAGAGAGCTAGAGTGGGGTGAGGGGTTGGGGACCCTCAGAAGAGGAGGCAGGGGCTTTTTCTCTGAAGAGGAGCCAAGAAACAAGGATGCCATGGAGACACAGAGACTCGCACTCTCCTGATTCCCATCCTCTGTCTTTAGATGAGATGGGCAGACGGCACAACGAGGTGACTGGGAATGAGCTGCAACGCAGGCAAACACTGATGCAGAAGACAGAGAGAATAATTGCAAGGGGGAACCGATGTGGTTGCAACTTAGTCCAAGCGACATTACGGCAGAGATAAAATAGGCAGTTAAGTCCCCGGGCTGACGGGGGTGCTGAGATAGAGGGCTGTGTTAGAAGGACTAATGGATGGAAAAGAACACTTCGGTGACAGAGGAGAGCAATAAACCATGGAAACGACGGAAATGCACTGCCTATAAGCATCTATAATTTTCCTTGGGAATAACTGAGTGTTTCTCCAGAATGTATTTGTCCTACATAATTGTCTTCAAAGCACAAAGCAAAACAAGCCCCGTGCTTCCCTGGATCAGCACCACACATTATGATGTCATGAATATGCATCCCCTTGTTTCTGAATGTGTGATTCATGCACCATAATGTGACCAGAAAATGAGCACATTTCATGGAGCGTGCATCTAGCCTCCCTTCCCTTTATGATGTGCGGGAGGTTTCATATCCTCAGAAGGCGGGCAGCTGGTACAGGATGCTGTGTGTGTGAACTACCTGCTGATCAATTGCTTACCTTCTTTGCACCTTGAAGAGATATTGCTCACGCCTAGGAAGAGCAATATAATTACAGCCTGCCTTAAATAGGTTTCCCTAAATTCTGATCTCTCCAAGAACTAACAATCTTGCTATTTCTCTTGGGGAAAAAAAGAAAGAAAGAAAGAGAGAGAAAGCTGCTCAGAAAATCTGAACCCAGAAGCTCCGCTGCTTGATGTCTCGGTGCCCTGCGTTAGCCGGTTCATACCTTAAGGCTTTGGGGTTCTCTCTATAAATAGGTGCAATCACACCTGCCTCTTTAAGCTGCCATTTAGATGAAGTGAGACAAAGCTGGCGGCGACACTTAAAGGGGTGAAAACATGCAGTTCCCAAATCAGGAAAATCAGTTCTTTGAAAGAGCTGCCGAGTCCCCCCTGACCAGGTGCCCTTTGTGTTGTTCTTAGGGGGGACCCCAGTGGTGTTCCTCAAACCAAACACAACAGTCCTTTCTCTCCTGTGCATGCCTCACACCCTGAGGTGGATCACAGCACTGAGACCCCGAGGAGCATCGCATCTCCCTTTTCCCATCAGACACTTCACACCCCAAAAGCTCCTACCTGGGTGACCTAGCACGTTAGACAATAGGCTCTCCCCAGACCACCTGCAAAGTCTACTCTGGTCTCCGTTTCCAGCTGCTTCGTGGATTTGACTTCTGTCTTACAACTTTGGGGTCTTGATAAAAACATCGTACAACTTGAATTTAGTCTGGCGCTGTTTGTTTTATTTTGGTGACATCGACGCCTCTGCCCACAAGAAATTCTGAGCACCTGGAATATCTCAATGACCAACAGAAGTGGTGATGGATCCCATGGAGTCTGTCTGCGACTGGGAAGCTGGACACTGTGTGAATGTGGCAGAGAGCGGTGGAGAAGCCGAAGCATGGAGTACTCACCCCAGGGCCTCTACCAGCCCACTCTGTTATCTACCATGTTCTCTGTGCCTTAGGTGGCCCATTAAAAGTTGGGGACTTGGAGGGGAATTTGGGTACCAAAGAGTCTCCTTACACAAAGTGTGGGGGTTGGAAACTGGAAGGGCAAGCTCAGTCATCAGAGGCGTAGAAGAGCGCTCCTGAGCAGCACCGTGCGGTAGACTTGCTGCTTTGAGGCTGCAGGATGAGAATCCTGTCACTGAAGACAGCTAGAGAGACACAGCCTGACAGAGTGTCAAGGGAGGAAAAAAGGAGAAGAAACACAGCAGGCCCACAATGTCCACGCCGAAGCATCCCAAGGCCCCGTGCCCGGCGTGGAAAGCCAGGAGGAGTTATAGAAGCGCTGATCTTCCTGTGCATGCATATTCATGATGGAGATTAATTTCTAAATAAGCAAGGAGGGGAAATGGGGGGTAAAGGTCAACAGCAGAGAAAGCAGTGTAATTAGCAGGATAATGTAAGCGTATGTAGGCAGTGGTTCTCAGCCCTTCTAGTGCCGCGACCCCTTGATATAGTTCCTCATGTTGGAGTTACCCCAACCGTAAAATTGTTTTTGGCGCTACTTCATAACTGTAATTTTGCTAAGGTTATGAATCACAATGCACACATCTATGCCTTCGGATGGTCTTAGAGGGCTCTGTGAAGGGCCATTCGGCCTGAGAATTTTAGTCTTTGTGAAAAGACAACAATAACATTAGAAACAAAATTAAAAACTCCCCCACACGCACACGATGCCTCCTGTATTCTAAAAGCAGCTTTGGGCTTCGGTTTGACTACTCAGCAGAAAGAGACTGAGAATTTCAAACATGCGTACAGGATATTTTCTTCACACTCGTTCTCCCTCCCCAGTGACTCTTCCCAGACCCATCTCCAAACCCCTCCCAGCAGCATGTCCTCTTTTCTTTTTCTGTGGCCCACTAAGTCCAATTCATGCCCCCATGTGCTCATAAGTGTGGGGTCATCCCCTGGAGTGTCTAACCTACAAGGGTCCACATTCTTGAAAAAAGTTTGTCTTCCTGCCCCAGCCGCTACTACGGTAAATGTCTCCTTAGCTTAGGCTGGGGGATCAGGGTGCCCTAACCTCTCCATGCCGATGTGTTGACTGGCTTGATCCTGTTCTCACAGCCGCTGTGTGCTCATGAGTACTACAGGCCTGTCTCGCCGAGAGACGCTGTCGGATTCCAGTCCTCCTGATCTGTGACTCTCACGGTCTTCCTCCCCCTTCCTCCATGATGACTCCAGAGCCGTGGTGGGGGAGCGTGGTGTCAATGTCCCCTACATGGCTGAGCATCTCACAGACGTGTTTTCTGTCCTGGACCACTCGCGAGTTTCTGCCTCAACTGCCACACGGTGCATAAGGAAATTTTTTGGATGGTGTCTGAGAGCTGCGATCATCTGTGAGGCTAGAGATACAGATTTAGCGGTCAGTTTGGTATTTCGCCCATTTAGAAAAATAATAGTAGTATATTCACCCCTGTGACCTGTGAGTTCCACAACTGTGAATTCCTAGCCAGATGTTGGTGCCAGACATTCCTGTAGCCTCCTAGCCAGATTAACAAAACCAGGCATGTGACAGAATTTAGAATCATCCTAGAAACATTCCTCTGGACACATGGACGAGGGCTTTCCAACAGGAATAACTGAACAGAGAGACCCACTGTCAAAGTTTACCTTCAAACCCGCGGTCTGAGAAAACAGAAATGCTGCCTGACCACTGACCTCTTCCCAGATGGGTTTGCCTCTCCTGCTGTCTCCATCCTGCCCTAACTTCACAGCTCTCCAGGGTGTTCGCAGGCAGGCAGCCCCAGTCGGGGACCTGTGTGGCACCTAGCTCTGTGTGTGGGGCAGCTACTAGGCTCTGCTCCTCCAGCGTACACAGAGCCCCTGTCGTGGAGTCCACGTAAGCTCTATTGGTTGTTGCTGTGGGTAGCTCTGCTTGACGTTCTCTTCCATCCTTGCGACGTTGTCACCACCACTGGTCAGCTATTAATAGAGAATTTACGTGTGTTATATGTTTTCTATAAAGCAAAAGTAATCTATTTTTCTCTGAACATACCTTTTCTCTTGCTTTCCAAGAGTCTGAAAATTTGCTAGACCTCTCAGCCAAGTTAATAATATCCCTTGAGATTAGTTAAGACTCTGTCTTTAGCTGCCCTCCTACTCTGTGCTCGGCCTGTTTGCCTTCATGAAGATATAATCAACCTTATTATACCTTGGATTCCCCAAGCAAGCTGCTTTTACAGCCTAAGTTAAAGGCATAGCTTTTATTCTTAAGTTATATACTCTCTATACCCCTGAAATAAAATTGTGTGTGTGTGTGCATGTGTGTGTTGGGGGGGGCATTCCTGGAAGCAGTCAACAGACTGAAAGTATCCTTAATCAAAACACCCACCATAAACATTGGAAACAACTGTGGCTACTGGTCGATAGTATCTGTTGGCAGCTCTGAGTGCTATTCTGGGTCAGCTGGGAGCAGTATAGAGACTTGGAAAACTCTGTGAAAGATTTCTGTAAAAAGTGATCCCTTTCTCATCTTGTTTTCTCCATGTTGTTGAATAAATACAGAGCCAAGCCCTTTGTTAGTGGCAGACAGATTGTATACACACACTCACATATACAACAGACAGACAAGAGCAGACAGGCCACGGACCACAGACTGAAGACAGACAGAAGACATGATGGAGGAGTGGAAGAGAAGGAATTCAGATTTGGGCTTGCTTTTGGTGAGCTATTCTAAGAGAAAGTTTCTGTGTCTGTCTGTCTCTCTGTCTCTCTCTGTCTCTCTCTGTCTCTGTCTCTCTCCTTCACTCCTTAATATAGTTTCTGTGCCCCTCTGAGGTTACTTTAATGCACTGTCAACTCAGTCAATGTTGTTTCAAACTCAATTTCCAAAAAGGGAAGTTGAACCCAGAAAACCTGACAAATCTGATGGGATCACATGGACAAGGAATGGGGACCCTTGAGCAGGAATCTGAATATGTTCTCACAGAGCCCACAGGTACCTTCGCCTCAGGTATCCTTCCACTCCAAGAAGTGACTCACCCGGTTGCACAGCCTGAGTCCCAAGGGAGCAAAGCATGGAGACTCTGCCCCAGGGCAAACATCTTACTCCTGCACGGCATATGAATTGCCTTTGTGGGGGAAAGCGTTTCAAAATTGCATGTGTATAAATGCCATTATGGGCTCAGCAGGCTTTCTATGCAAGATAAACAAAGTCTTAGCAGCCACATTAACATGTCTGCGTACAGAAAACTACATGTGTAAAAGGCTTTCTTTCCCCCCAGAGGGCCCATTAGTGACGGGTAAACACAAACTACCCAGGAATCTTCTGGGGAGCTCACACTTCTGCTAATTTTTAATAAAAACAAGATGTGCCTGTGCCTACAAGAACATCTGCAAACCCCAACCATCGAGCAATGCTCAGGAGCACACAGGCATTTGAATCCCCACATGAAGAGGCCTGGCTGAGGACTGACCCTCAATTCATGTTAGTGATGCACATGTGGTTTGGCCCACAATTCATGTTAGTGATGCACACGTGGTTTGCTTGATCTGCTTCTGTCACATGATTTCCTGTGTACAAGTTGCTTCCATAAAGGGAACAAATCAAGGCTTAGGATTTGGTGCAGTTGATCCCATGTTCAAGTGTGGGGAATCTGAGCTTAATCCTTAGCAGTCACATTAAAGAAGCCAACACTAAGCTCCACGATGATCCCAGCTCTGGGGCAGCAGAGAGAGGGGAATCCTGGAGTTCTCCTTCCGGCCAGCCCAGCTGAATCATGGGCACCAGACCCTGGGAGAGATCTTGCCTCAAACCAGAAGAGAGAATGTGATTAAAGATGATATCCAGCATCAACTTCTGACCTCCACACGCGTGTGCACGCACATGTACACACAGGTACATATGAGACTATACATGTGCACATACATACACAGAAATATATTCATGTGCACATACATGCATTCACAGGTGCACTCATGTACATACATACAAATGTAAAGAATCACCAAAACACAACAGAAATTCAACACCTTGAGTTTTAAGCATCAAATGACTTTTGTTTAGCATGACATGGATCTGAGAATATTCTCTACAACAACGGAGGAGAATTCTGTTGAGCACAGCAGAGATGTCTGTGAGGTAGCTCCAGCAGGAACACGCAAAGGGTGAAATGTAAGCCTGTAGCTTGGCTCCAGCTTCCTCTACTCTTATCCTCGGAACCCTTAGAACCTTTCTTAAAGTCACACCTTGCAGTTGGTTGTGGTGAATTTGTCCTTTTGGAAGACTTCGGCTTTGGGGGAATTTTCCCATGTTCTAATGTTTCCGTTTGACTATGTCACGTTTAATAACAGTGAGTTTACTCTAGTTTGGTTTTCTGAGGGCTAGTGAAGAATGTTGACCTAAAAGAATGGCATCCCCTAAATTGTTTCTGACATTTTCTAGTCAGGAGCTAGGGAGAGTTGGCGGTGTTCGCTGTGGCTCTCCTTCGGTGTCTTCCGGGAGCTCTAAAGCCTCTGGAGCCATGGACCAGTGGCTCTTGGGCCTTTCTATGCCATGAAGGGATGTGCAACTATTAGGGATTTGGGAAAACCCAGTGCCCAGGTTCCCTCTGCCCAAGGTGGAGCTGAGCACAGCGGGTCGTCAGTTCAGGGACTCCCCAGCACAGGATGGGCCATCTCCTCCCTTCCTAGCCAGCCTCAGAGAACCCGCCTGTCCCACTCCAGCTTCTCTGTACAACTCCTGCCCTCTGACCCTCAACCCTTTCTCGGGTATCAGCAATACCAGATCAGAACAATAGTCTCCACAATGGGAGTACACAGCTCAACTTCAAAACTTCTCCAAATAAGGCAAAATGAGACATTTCATCACGGCACACAAAACAGGAAGTCTGAAATAGTCTGTCTGATAGGAACTCGCAAAACATGGTTTCTTGCTACACAGTCATGTCCTTCTCAGCCTCTGAGAGTAATGGTGTACAGCCTCAGTGACCTGGAGAGCTCTTGGGCCACGGAGCTTCTAAATTTACTAACAAATGTCTTAGCAATCGCATTTCATTTCTGACCCTTCCTCTGTCTACTACAAGTCTGTCCATGGCACTTTCCCCCTCCTTACTTTACAGACTTGTACAAACCTCATCGTGGTTTTACTGGAGGACTAGCATAGGATTCATTAAACTATCTGAAGCAGATTTTCTTAAATATAAAAACCCACTCACCATCACCTCTGCTTCCCCTTCTGTGGCATCGGAACCCTTTCCTTCCCTCTAAGACTCCTGTGTGGAGACACTTGCTTTGGCCACTACACACACCAGTGGCGAGTTCCTCACTGGCTAAGGTGCCCTGACTTCAGGGAACCACATATGCAATGTTCTCTGATACTCCATGAAATAAATCATTTACCCATTTGGACTTCCAAGCACTTGGAAAGTGCTGAGCCCAGCAGCTGACAAAAGTGTAAGGTGTTGCTTAAAGGAGCCCCATGCGTACAATGTCAAAATGTACTCACAGTGTGGGAACACTTTCTTGTCTCTATATTCCTGAGTGCTGGAGGTATGGTTTCATTGTAGAATCATTTCCTGGCATACACCATGTCCTAGGTTTGATACCAAGAAAGAAAGAGGTGGGGGAGGGAGGAAGGAAGGGGGAAAAAAAAGAAGAAAAGATTAAGAAATTCCCTGAGTCAACAGCTGAATCCTAGCTCAGATCATTATCCAAAGGCTTCAGCATCTAAACATTAAGAAAGTTTTAGACAATTAGTAGAAAAGGCAGAACACACAGGAAGTGTGGAGGTAAACAAGGACACTACAGTGAATAGAGCTGTTTCCCACAAGTATGAAAGCATGTACCGGATATGTGCCCCAACGAAGTTTATAACTAAAGCCAAACATTGTGCTCAGGCAAGACCAGTTAGTTTGCTCCTGAGTCTTTCCTAAAGCTCCTTAGAAACTAAGAATAAGAAGAAGACCCAAACTCAGTAAGGATAATCCAATCTGTTCTCATGAACATGCTGTCCAGCTCTTCGGCGTGGTGTGGAGAGGCCTGTGGGAGACTGGCAGCTGCAGACATTGCAGGGACAGTGAAGGGGCGCTCTTGAACACCCAACCACTGTGAAGCAGTCATTTGAAATATTATTCAGTGGGCAGAAGAGAATTCGTGCTGTATGGGGCATGTGTCTCCCTGGGTACAGCTTGTAAGTCACAGTGGGAAGATGAAAGATGAATTGATGGAAACAAGAAAGTGCAGGGACTTAAAAGAGCTGTGGATGAATTTCTAACAGGCTTCTGAGGGTAGACATCACTGATATGGTGATGCTAAAGCAAACCCTTGCAGGGATGGAGGGAGGGAGTAAGCCCCAGATCCGGGCAGACACACTACAGACTGGTGCCTTCAACACACCAGAAAAATAGAAAGATCTTCCATGGTCTTGAGTAGGCAGAATTAACATAGTAAAAATGGCAATCTTACCAAAAAACAATCTACAGATTCAAGGCAATACCCAGCAAAATCCCAGCAAAATTCTTCACAGACCTCGAAAGAAGATGTGTTGCATGTGTTTATGTTTCAGGATATTTGTTTAATTATATAAAGATATGGGGCTGGAGAGATGGCTCAATGGGTTAAGAGCACTGGCTACTCTTTCAGAGGTCCTGAGTTCAATTCCCAGCAACCACATGATGGCTCACAACCATCTGTAATGAGATCTAGCGCCCTCTTCTGGCCTGCAGGTGTACATGCAGGCAGAACACTGTACACTTAATAAAAAAATAAAATTAAATTTAAAAAGACGTGCTGCATTTGTTTAAATGTGTAAAGATGTGCTGTTGTTTTACCTTGCCTGCCTAAGGTGCCTGACTGGTCTAATAGAAAACAGAACAGACAATAGCAAGGGAGGAGGTATAGGCAGGACTTCTGGTCAGGGAGATTATGTAAGAGGGGAAAATGAGACTCAGAGAAGAGAAAAAAGAGAGACTAGGGAGATGCCAGGGGCCAGGCAGACAGGGAGGAAGCGGGAAAGTAGGACATACAGAATGAAAAAAAGGTAAAAAGAACCAAGGCAAAACATAGAGGAATAGAAACAGGTTAAATTAAGTTAAAAGAGCTAGTGGGACAAGCCTAAGCTAAGACTGAGCACT